TCCATAAATTCTGGCTGTATGCAGGCCTGTAGGGCGTTTTCTTAATCAGTGATTGATGGGGGAGGGCCCAGCTCACTCTGAGTGGTGCCACCCCTGGGCTTGTGGTCATGGGTTTTATAAGAAAGCAGGCTGCCCTGGGAGATCGTGGTGCACCCCTTTAATGCCAGCACTCAGGAGGCAGAGGCAGGAACAAGCCATGAGGAGCAGGAAAGTAAGCAGCATTCCTTCACGGCCTCTGTACCAAGTTCTGCCCTCCAGTTTCTGCCTCCAGATTCCTGCCCTGTTTGAGTTCCTGTCTTGACTTCTTCAATGATGAACAGTGATATGGAAGTATAAACCAAATGCCTCTCCCCCGCCGGCCCCAGCCCAACACACACACAATTTGACAATTTGCTTTTGGTCATGGAGTTTCATCACAGTAATTGAAACTGTAACTAAGACAAGCACCTAGATCCTAGAGAGTTTAGGGGTAGATTTGCTGAAAAAATAAATACCAAACACCAAAAACCCACTAGGAGAGCTGAAAGGAAAGAGCCCTTCATTGAATACCTCTGGTTTGAGGGCATTATCTGACAGCCATCACTATCCCCAAATCACCATTCTCTTGGATCCACCTGTAATGTGACACCTTAGAAAGCAGCCCTGAGATAGAGACTGGTGGGTACAAAGTTTATTAGGGAGGGTTTGCTGGTTAGTTCCAGTGGGCTATGGACAGGAACCAAGGACTGGCTAGGAGGAGTCACTGGGCTATATGACAGTTACTACAAATTGGACTACAATTGGACAAGAAGGTCTGAGGCTGGCTGGGCCCTTTAGGGGCATCCTACATTGGGAGAGTGGGCTCTGTAGTGTGATGTGGAGTCAAACCTACAATAAGCTCTGAAGCCTGTTGTAGAGTCTACAATGTGGGGTCTGCTGTGTACTGTGAGGTCTGCAGTGTGATGTGGGGTCCACAGTGTGCTGTGAAGCCTGTTGTAGAGTCTGCAGTGTGGGTTCTGCAGTGTACTGCGAGGTCTGCAGTGTGATATGGGGTCTGCAGTGTGCTGTGAAGCCTGTTGTAGAGTCTGAAGTATGCTGCGAGGTCTGCCGCGTGCTGTGGGGTCTGCAATGTACTGGGGGGCCTGCAGTGTGCTGTGAGATCTGCAGTGTACTTTAGGGCCTGCAGTGTGCTGTGGGGTCTGCAGTGTGTGATACATTCTTCACTGTGGTGTTAGGGTCTGCAGTATGGTATGGGGTCTGCAGAATGTAGTGGGGTCTGCAGTGTGCAGTGGAGTCTGCAGTATACTGTGGGGTCTGCAGTGTGTAGTAGGGCCTACAGTATGTGATACATTCTGTACTGTGGTGTTGGGGTCTGCAGTATGGTATGGGGTCTACAGAATGTGGTGGGGTCTGCAGTGTGAAGTGGGGTCTGCAGTGCACTGTGGGGTCTATAGTCTGCAGTGGGGCCTGCAGTGTGTGATACATTCTTCACTGTGGTGTTAGGGTCTGCAGTATGGTATGGGGTCTGCAGAATGTGGTGGGGTCTGCAGTGTGCAATGGGGTCTGCAGTGTGTGATACAGTCTGCACTGTGGTGTTGGGGTCTGCAGTATGGTATGGGGTCTGCAGTGTTCTGTGGGGTCTGCAGTGTTCTGTGGGGTCTGCAGTGTGCAGTGGGGTCTGCAGTATGCAGTGGGGTCTGCAGTGTGCAGTGGGGTCTGCAGTGTGTGATACAGTCTGCACTGTGGTGTTGGGGTCTGCAGTGTGCAGTGGGGTCTGCAGTGTGCAGTGAGATCTGCAGTGTGTGATACAATCTGCACTGTGGTGTTGGGATCTGCAGTATGGTATAGGGTCTGCGGTGCGCTGTGGGATCTGCACAGTGGTGTCTGATCTGTAGAGTGCTGTGGGATCTGAAATGTGCTGCCGAGTCCCATTGAAGTTGCAAAGGCAGATGATGACTCGGGAACATCCTGCCTAGCAGCACTGTCTGTTCTGTGTCAAATTTCCCCTATTCAACAGCAAATTCTTTCTCAAAATAAGGCTGGATACCGATAAGAAATAAACAAATTAGGAGGAAAGAGCCTGGGGCTGCTGTAAAGTTTGCTGTATTCACTCCCACTTTTTTTTGACCTAACTATCTTATCTTGGGAGTCTCAGAAATAGATCTTTTATGAACCATGAATGCTCTGAACCCTGGAAGTTATAAGCTGAAGGAGACGAGAGTATGTGGTTTTCTGTCTGAATGCAGCTTATTCCTCGTCCTTTGCAGACACGTCTGCAAGTTGAGCGCTGGAGTTCTGTCAGACACCTTAGAATGCCGCCCCAGATGACAAACCTTACAGGTGTCCCCTGTGTGGAGACCCTGGTGAGCAGGGGTCCGTTGTTACCTGCCCAGGTCAAAGCCACATCAGTCTCCACTCTTTCCTGTCTACTCCATTTTCAGGCTGACTTGCCCATGATGGTGAATAGGAGGACAGTGGTTTTCTTGCAAGGCAAATGGACTTTTTTTTTTTTTCTCCCACAGGAAGATAATAGAATTTGATCTACAAAAATTTTGCAGATAAATAGGCCCCTTCAAGAGGGACAAGATTGAAGGGGTAATGTGTTTGCGCACATGTATAAGTGTGTACACGAGTGTTCACGGGCTATGGATGAAAGTGTGGATTATATGGGAATAGTGACTCTAGACCGGCTGTCAAATGCTCACATTAAGGGGTAATCCCATGTTGCTTATTTTGCTTTGTTTCTTTGAGACAAAGTCTTGTTGTATAACCCAGGCTGGCTTCAAACTCCAGATCCTCCTGCCTGAGCCAACAGAGCCTAGGATTCTAGACATGTGGAATAAACTGGCACCATGCCCGATTTATTCGGCTCTTTTTACATTAAGTAATGTAATTTTTAGAAGCTATTTCTGGGCTAGAGTTTGTTCCAACTTAAATTCAGCCCATGTTTCTCCTCACCTCTCATCCAGCTGAGGGCACTGGGGCAGAGCCCCAGCTGAGGAGAGTTTCTATTACCTATTCTGAAGCAGTCAGTGTCCTCTTCAGATGAATAAATAAGGAGCAGACCTCTGACCCTGAGGTGATGGCCTTATTAATAAATCCTACAGGACAATATTTGTTTTGGGTGCTGATGTGGTCCAAAAGTCTTAGTCTGGGCTCCTCATTTCTTTGAACACTTTCATGTTCTGTATAGGTTCCTGCTGTGACATTTGTGACTGTTGAATGCTTCGATGGTTTGTGTCCTGAGGATCCTTAAAAAACCACTAAGCAGTATTGACACAGACCTGGTTCCTTAGGAGGAGCATCCTCACCAAGTTAGGCTGCCGGTCTGGCCGAGGTGTCTTACTATGGTTAATGTCCTGATTTCATTGGATCAGAGCTTAAGGATTTATTTCATTTTTAATTATATGTGTGTATCTCTGTGTGGGTATATACAGGTGCCATCAGAGGCTGGTAGTTTGGAATCCCCATGGAACTGGAGTTCCAGGTAGTCATGAGGCACTGGACATGGTTGCTGGGAACAAAACTTGGGTCCTCTGGAAGGCCATTAGATGCTTTTAACCACTGAACCATCTCTCTTTCTCCAGCCCCTGGATCAGAGTTCAGGTCAGAGTTGGAAGGTACTTCAATGGCTGATTTGGACAAGTATGAAAGTCCAGAGCCAGGAAGGCAGAGTGGCTTGGCTAACAGAACACAAATACTGTCTATGAGGGAATGAGAAGCCAGGCTCTGTGACCCTACCCCAGGATCCCATCTGTGCTTCTGGTTTTATGGTAGTCAGTATTACTTGCTTAGACTCTTGTACTTAGCAAATAACTGCAAGTAATTCATACACGTTTTCAATTCATATTTAATATCTTTTCCAACTTATTCCCTGTGGTTGATATATTGTGCACCCCAATAAACTGATCTGGAGGTCAGAGAACAGAACAGCCACTATATTAAACACAGAGGTTAGGCAGTAGTAGCACACACCTTTAATCCTAGCATTCTAGAGGCAGAGAGCCATCCAGATTTCTGTGAGTTCAAGGCCACACTGGAAACAGAGCCAGGCATGGTGGCACACGCCTTTAATCCCAAGACTTGAGATCTCGTGTCTTGCTTGGGAAAGACACATGCCTTTAATCCCAGGAAGTGATGGCAGGAAGCAGAAAAGTATGTAAGGCGTGAGGACCAGGAACTATACCCCTTTTAAGCTTTTAGGCTTTTAGCAGCAGATCAGCTGAGATCCATTCGGATGAGGACTTAGAGGCTTCCAGTGTGAGGAAACAGGATCAGCTGAGAAGTTACCAAGGTGAGGTTAGCTGTGGTTTGTTCTGTTTCTCTGATCTTTCGGAATTCACCCCAATACCTGGCTCCCAGTTTTTTTTTTTTTTTTTTTTTTATTAATAAAACCTTTTAAGATTCGTGCTACAATTCCCAGAAACCAAGGATGGCAATTGCTCCTTTGATTACACACGGGAAACAGTACAAAAATTCTTCTAGTTTGCTTTGTGCTGCTGTGATAAAAAACCATGACCAAAAGCAGCTCAGGGAAGACAGGGTTTACTTGGCTTATTGGTTACAGTCCATCATGGAAGGAAGCCAGGACAGGAACGCAAGTAATGAACCTGGAGGCAACAACTGAAGCAGTGGTCATGGCTGGCTTGTAGCAGTGGTTTACTGGCTTGTTCCCAGGCTTAGGTTCAGCTACATTTCTTATACTTCCCAGGACCCCTTGCTAAGGGTGACATTACCCAGCATGGGCTGGGCTCTCCCAAAGCAGTCATTTATCAAGAACATGCACCACAGGCTTGCTCATTAGCCAGTTTTACGGAAGCATTTCTTCAGCTGAAGTTCCCTTCTCCAATCCGACTCGAGTTTGTGTCGAGTTGACAAAAGCTAACGACGAACACAACACTTAATAAATGCCATTAAGAGTGGTTAGGTACAAGACCCACTGGTGGTTTTTGGATGCAGTGGGAACTTGATTCATTGATCCCTATTTTGGATTCTAATACCTGTTCTACTTGCTGTTGCAGATCTCACGAGCTTCTGTTCAGTTGACAAATCGGAAAGTGGCTGAAGGTACCTCAGTGTGTTGGGCATCTGGATGCACGGAAAGATAAACCCTTTGCAAAAAGGGGTTGAAGAGGAGAGCTTGGTCAGAGGAGAGACTTCTGAGAAGTGGCTTTATAATGTTCCAAGAATACAAAGGAACCCAGAAATGGCTTCTTTGAAATGGAGGACCAGGATTTTAATTGCCTAGATATGATTTCCAGCTATCAGATTTTGAAAATGTGGTCAGAATTTGTAAGAGATTTATGGAAATCTCCTTATTCTGGAGCTTTAAACAAGACATTAATTTCTCTTGTTAGCAGAAGAGCTGAACTTCCTGTAAGTGATAGGATGAAGTAATAACTGTGATGCTGGGTTCCAGGAACATGGCACATTTTCTTGCCATTAACTGAGTCAGGTGATGGACACATTGCCAACGACCTTTAGAATATTCTCAAGTGTCCTGTCTCCTTATTGGGCTTTCTTCCTTACCTCCTTCTAAGTACTCATTTCCCCCTTACTCTCAATTGTCCATCCTTAGGGCTAATTTCCATTTTCCATCATTTCCCATGTGACTGTGAATATTGAGGCCATGATAAACATGAAACTTAGCAGATCCAGGGACCTCTTCTGGCCACCTACAGATATTCTGAGCAGACCTCTAAACCAGGAAGGCAGGAAGAAGATCCTAGTGTCTCAAACTCAGTGAAAATAAAAAGAATAATTGGGCTGGGCATGTAGGTCCATCAGTCAGCAGAGTGCTTCCCTAGCATGCCCAAGGCTCTGGGTTCCATCCATAGCACCAGATGTCAGCAATCCCTGTACTCAGGAGTTGGAGCCAGGAGGATGCAGCAGTTTAAGGTCATCCTGAGCTACATACCAAGTTCAAGCCTAGCCTGAGATTTGTGAGAGCCTGTCACAAAACAAAACAAAGCAAAACAACTGCCCCCCACCACACAACCTCCATGGTTTGAACCCCAGCACCCTGCCACCAGTAAAACAGATTCTTCTACAAGAAGGATGCAGAAGGAAGATACCACTTGAAGTGTTTTGTCCACTCTGCTAGCTCTGTTAAGCAAGCAGCCCAAGTTAGCTCAGTCTTCAGTGAAATGCTGTAGTTACAGCAAGTCTATAGGTCTGCATTTGAAGAAGGTTGTTCCCAACATTATAGCAACAGGAAATAAAAACAAATTTGCACCCACTATGTGAAAGTAGTTTTCATAAACAGCATTAAGTGTTTATAACTTCACAAACGCACACTGTACATGTAAAGAAGGAGAAAAGAATAATTTAGGGGAACTGAATGGGAGGAATATGTTGCTTTTAGTACAAAACAATCATTCTAGTTTCGTTTGAAGTTAGAAGAAAAAGAGATAAGTGAGTTTATAGGCTTCAGTGAACTTATAAAAATCTTTACATCAAGAGTTATTAGTTTTTAAAAGGTCCCTTTTAAGGTTATGAGAAAAGACTAAGGGAAACATTAAGAAATTGAATTGTTGTGCACGGTATGGAACTCCACATTTCCATTTTTGACAGAACAAGTGACTCTCTGCCACGAAGATGAAAGAAATTAGTGTTTGAGCAGCTCTCCAGATAGACTCCCTCGTTCCTACCTCTGACTACTATTTCTACCACATCTGCGTTTATGACATTTCCGTTTTATTCTGTAACCACAATCTACTCAGTTCAAATCCTGCTTGTAAGAGCTGTAAAATCCTGAGGACTGTAACACCATCCCAGTGGCATCCCTTTCTTCTTCCTCCTGTGTCTTCCTGGAGCTGAGCCCTCCTCCCTCTCATCTGCCAGCTTCCCCCCACCTCCTCTCACACTAGTCTCTAGGGTTGGACTTTGTGTTGCCTACACCAAAAGGCATTTGTCTTTTTTCTTAGTTTATTACATATAGGCTATAATTTCAAAATATTTGTCAGATTAACTTTCTGAAACTTCTGTTTTGTGAAGATAATTTTCATAAAAGATTTTACTTTGATTTTAAATGTATATGTGCGTGTGTATGTGTGCGCGTGCGCGCGCGCGCGCGCGCGCGTGCGTGCCTGTCTGTCTGTCTGTCTGTGAGTGAGTGTAGGTGCCCTTGGTGTCCAGAAGAGAGTGTCAGATCCTCTGGAACTAGAGTTACAGGTGGTTGGGATTTACCTAATGTAGGTGCTGGGAACTGAACTTCAGTTCTTTGCAAGAGCAGTATGTGTTCTTAATCCCCAAGCCATCTCCCCATCCCCCAAAGACGGATTATGTAAAAATATTGGTGGGGCCTCCGGCGCAGATCAGTGGTACAACACTTGTCTAGCACGTCCAACACACACACAGCATTGTGAATTCAGCAGGGGAAGGGGCTCAGTAGACCTCACCCTCCCTTGAGATTCTATAGACAATGTTTACTGGGGGGAGGGAGAGACTATTTTTTTTCATGGATGTAGCCTCTGGAAAGGTGCCCATGCTTCCAGAAATGACCTACCACCCATGCTCGCTCCTCTAAGCAACCCTGATGAAAATCATTGAGTCACAAAAGCAGGAGAAGGAATGAAGTGGGGGATGGGGGTGGGGGTGGGGGATGGGAGGTGGGGGATGGGGGGTGTGGGGGATGGGAGTAGGGGGTAGGTGGTAGGGGTAGGGGTTAGGGTGGGGATGGGGACTATCTGGGAAGCGGGCGAGGATCAGTGGGAGTGGTAAGGACCAGAGAGGATAGTGGTGAGTGAATATGCTCAAAATACATCTTATAAATGTATGGGAAGGGTCATAACAAATCTATTACCATGTATAATTAATGCATACTAATAACACATCAAAAAATTGCGAGTTGTGCCATTTGATGAAATCTGTTGGTTGCTGCAAACACAGGAAGAGCTCTTAGAAATCCCTCACAAATGTATTTGAGGAGTTGAGACTTTTGTACATTTTATAGCCTAAAAATTGTTATATTTAAAATGAAATATCTTCTTTATATATAGTTTAGAAATACAAATGAAAAAAGAAATAACACAGTTCTCAATTTCACCTTTAGGCACAAGAATTCTTAGCAATTAGATTCTTTTGTATTCTTACAATCTCTCTTTTATTTATAGAAAAATACCTATTAGCTTTAAAGATGGAACCCTGACTGTGGAACAGTGTTGTTTGTAATCTTATTTTAAAGCATATACTATACTGAGAAATATTTTCACTTATTGTTTAAATGAGTGTGGCCTTTTAAACCAATTCAGAAAATGTGAGAATCAGGATAGTCTGAAATAACATCCTCACGTAACCCTTCCCAGTGGCTGAGAATTTACTTCAGTTGAGTTATTCTGTAGTGCTGGGGACTGAACCCAGGACTTCAGGCATGCTGGGCATGCATTCTACCAGTCACACCCTTCCCTGTTAGCTGCCAGAACCTTCCCAATATTAATTTTTTTAAACCCGGGGTGGGGGTAGACTCAAAAGTGTAGATGACTAGGAATAGCTTATTTTTCTTTTTAGAAGAAGAATCGAGAGAGGTAATGACTGCCATAGAAACAGTGACAGCTTTTCTGACTTCAGCTGTATCTTTCACTGTAATGCACCCCACGTGGGAAGGGTGATTTGCATATATCACATGCTTCCCAAAGCCTTACAGATATTTCAAATGCACAATGATAGATGGGGAAAACTTTGTATATCCTATCTGTCTCGGATGCACCATTGTCTAATGAAGGTCTAAATCAATGGTATGCATAAATGTTTGAAAACATATTAGCTTCCCTACCTAAATATTTCTTTCATTGATCTATAGATGATGCTTGAAGTTGAAGCCTCATAGCAATGCCAAGGTCTACAGTAGAAGGGTATCTGCTAACACATCTGGAGCCTCAAGGGCAGATAGGTGCTGTGCTTCCTTTCAGACTACCCACATATATTAATGAAGAGTTGGGAAAGAAACGACTAAATGTCTGCATTAGTTCCCAAGGGATGCTGTATTAGTCAGGGTTCTCTAGAGTCACAAAACTTATGGAATGAATCTCTCTATATATAAAGGAAATTTATTGGAATGACTTACAGGCAGGCAGCAGTCCAACTAATCCACCAATGGCTAGCTGTGAACGGAAAGTTCAAGAATCTAATAGTTTTTCAGTCCCATGAGGCTGGGTGTCTCGGTTGGTTTTCTGTATATACTGGAATCCCAAGGAAATAGGCTCCAGTGCCAGTGAAGGAATGGATGTGCTGACAAGGTTAGAACAAGCAGGAGAAGAATAAATGAATCCTTGTCTGTATATAGGTTTCTAACAGAAGTTGTGGCCTGGATTAAAGGTGTATCTTTTCACCTTAAGGTCTGGATTAAAGGCATGTGTCATCCAACCTTAGGATCAGAATCAAAAGCCTGTGTCTTCCAGCTTCATGATCCAGATCAAAGGCATGTTGTCTTCCTTCCTCAAGATCTAGATCACAAGTGTGCCCTCCATTTCTGGATTGTCGTTCATTCCAGATATAGTCAAGTTGACAACCAAGAATAGCCATCACACATGCCTTAAGCTACCACAAACCAATTGGTCTAACACAACTGAAAATTTATTCTTTCAGAATTCTTCAGGGTAGAAGTCCAAATCATCAGGATTATGTCCTTTTTGAGTCTCTGGGTAGAATCCCTCATAGCCTCTTCATAACTTTGTAAGATAGTTCTCAGTCTTTGGTAGTCCTGATCTGGTTGCTGCACAATTAAAATTCCTGCCCGACTCACTTGTTGCCTTCCCCTGTGTCCTCACACTGCTTGTTTGTTTGGTTACTTATTTATCTTTGGGGTGATGGGGATGGAACCCCAGGCCTTGTATATATTAGTGCTCTATCACTTAACAGGCACTCTAAGCCCCATAAGATCCTTTCACAGCGACTCTGGTCATGTTGGAATAAGGGTCTACCCTACTCTCGCACGACCTCACTTAAATAATTACATCGGCAGCTACTCCTTTTCCAAAGAAGTCCCATTCTGAGGTGCTTTCCTTTTTCTTGTTGGGTGACACAATTCATCCTGTAACAAGTGTGGTCCAGAAGAAACTAGCTGTGGATGCCATGATTTATGAACTAACAGAGAAGTGTCTCGCAGATATTATGCTTTTCTTTCTTTTCCACCAAACCTATACTTTTTTGATGACAGTGAGGAAAAGGGCAAAGGAAATGATATGATACTTGATTTTGTGAGAGATAATGACTCTTACACAGGTCTAGTTGTCAGAAGCAATTTTTAAAAAATAAGCACCGTCCCTAGCCTTAGCATAGCATTCACAGTTTACGGAGTGCTGTCACATGCATTATCACTTTGACCCTGACAATGCTCCTGAGAAATGGGCAATGCAGATGTTGCCACTTTCCCCATTTACAAAAGTGGAATCCGAGATGAAAGCAGACTACACAGCTAAAAGGAGTTGTGCCTCCTGACATCAGATTACTTTTTTTTTTTTTAACCACCCACAGAAGTTTGGATCTCTCTCTCCTCTCTCTTCCCTCTCTCCTTCTCTCTACTCCCTGTGTTACATGCAGCAGATATTACTACGCATTTCCTTAGGCAACAGGGACAAGGTGAATCACTGGGAGACACTAGCATCCTCAGGAGTGCCTAATGACCACTTTCTTCAGCATTTGTGAGTACCCCTGGGACTTCTACACAGCGCCGAAGTTCTCTTTTCAATGGGGCAGATTCCACAGAAACCCTGTGTGTCTCCTCCAGACCTTCTCTTCTCATGTGAAGAATCACTTGTGCATTTTCCTCCATCCAAACCGGCTCAGTCCACTTGGACTGCAATGATAGGATGACTTAGATTGCAGAGTTTATAAGCAACTAACACTTGCTGCCTGTGGCACTGGAGGTTGGGAATCCCGGCATCAAAATCAGAGGCTGCAATGTCTCACGAGGGCTTTCTGTTGCATAGATGTTGCCTTCTCGTGTCTTTGCTTGATAGACTAGTGGGAGGTTTTTGTTTTTGAGACAGATAGACTCTCACTGTGTTCCCCAGGTTGCCCTAAAATTTCTGATTCTTCTGCCTTTACCTTTCTAGTGCTGGGTCCAGGACTCTTTTATGAGGGCACCTTTCCCATTCACTGGGTAGAGTCCTTCTGACCTACCAAAGGTCTCACTTCTTAATATTACACTGGAGATGAGGTCTCAGCATAGGAGTTATTTTTTTGGGGGGGGCGGGGAGGGAAAAATATCTAATATAGTTGAGGCTGGCCTTGAACTCCCTATGTAGCTGAAGATGACGTTGAGCTTCTGATACTTCCACCTTCACCACCTAATTGCTGGGATTATAGCATTGCCATGTTAGTTTTTTATGCAGTGTTGGGGATGAACTAGAGATATTGTGCATGCTAGGCAAGCACCCTACCAACTGAGCTGCACCTCTAGCTCTCAACGTGTGAATTTTGAAGGACACAAGCATTTGGATTCCAGTAATGCAAAAGTAATGTGTGTTTTTGGAACATGAAACAAAACAACAAAATTAGTATAAAATGTACAGAAGAACTCAGTCTCTTGCTATTTTTATTCCCTGCAAGGGCTTCCCTTGTGTGGTAGTTTGAAAGAAAATGGCCCCCAAATGGGGTGACATATTAGGAGGTGTGGCTTTGTTGGAGTAGGTGTGGCCTTGTTGGAGGGAGTGTGTCACTGTGGGGGCAGGCTTTGAGATCTCTTTCACTCACGCCATGCCCAATATGAACAGCTCCCTTCCTGCTGACTGTGGATGAAGATGTAGGACTCTCAGCTCCTGCTCCAGCAC